GGCTCGCACGTGGCCTCCCGTCTGGAGTCCTCTCCCCAGAAGAGGTAGGACTCCTCCAGCGGCCCGCTCGGCGCGCGCGGCCCGGGCATCGCCCCCGCGGCGTCGTGCAGGGTGCTGGTGGCCCTGCAGGCGGCCGAGCCCTCGGGCCCGGTGCCGACGACGAGCTCCACGGCCAGGCCCCGCGCATCCGCCAGGCCGCCCCCTCCGCCTGGGGCGAGGCCCCGGACCTGCGCCAGCCGCCTCTCCACCTCGCCCCGCACGAGGGCCACCTCGCGCTGGCGCCAGCACGGCGAGCCGCCGGCGCTGGCGCCCCCGTCCGAAGACGACGCGCTGCTGGCCTCGTCCCGGGGCTGCGGCGCCATGCTGGGCCGACGCCGCCAGCGAAGAGAAGCGGAGTCAGGTGGCAACCTCCGGACCCTCCCCCCACCAACCATCGATTCTCCCGTCGGCGGCGAGCGAGGGGGGGGGGAGAGAGGGGGAAGGCCTCCTCCAAGGCGGCGGGGCTCCCCAGAAGGGTGGAGACGCCTTCTGAGGGGTGTTCTGTATCTTCGGGAAGGCTTAACAAAAAGTTCTCAGAAGGCCAGGGGGCTCCTTCTGAGAAGGACCGCCCCTCTTCACTCCCCCCCCTAAAGCTCGCTCGCCGCCGATCCCAAGTCGATGGGAGGCGGGGGGGCAGGGGGCGGAGTTCGCCACGGGTTCGACAGATTCCCAACCCTACCGGGTAGGGCTGCCACCCATCGAGCTGCCCTGCATTTCTGCGGCAACTCATGGGAGCCTCCCAGAACATCTGGCTAGCTCTTGCGAATCGACGCCTATCGACGCTCACCGAGGCTCAATCAACGCTGGTCGACGCGAAATCGACGCTAACCGACGCTCCTCGAGGCTAGATCGGCACGACCTGGTCGACTGCCAGGCACTGATCGACGTTGGTACGCTCCCAAGAGAGAAAGTTAACGTGGGCACGCGAGGCTCGCACCCCAGGATTTGCTTGCCAAGTGCATCGTTGCCCAAGCCGTAACGGTCTGGACGGCCTACGCCTGCATCGACAGAGTTGTAATGCACGCCGATGCGCTTTGCACCCTACGCGGCGATGCGATTTCTCTGCCCGTGCGCTGCTTAGCGCCTGGCTGCTGTCTGTTCGGGTCGGGCGAAAGGGGGGGATGCCAAAAAGGGGGGTTTGAGAATCAGCTCACGTAGCCGATTCTCCCGGCGCCCCCCGGCGCCGGAGGCGGCCATGCATCGAGAGAAATGGGCCCCTGGATGGGGCCGAAACCAGCTGCATGCAGCAGATTTCGTACCCCCCCCTTTCCCACCCCCCCCCCCCTTTCGTCCGGCCCGATCATTCAGACAAAAACACACTGTGGGAAAAGCACACAGTCTGTGGGAAGTGGGATGTGTGTGCGTGTGTGTGCGTGTGTGCGTGTGTGCGTGTGTGCGCGTGTGCGTGTGCGTGTGCGTGTGCGTGTGCGTGTGCGTGTGCGTGTGCGTGTGCGTGTGTGTGTGTGTGTGTGTGTGTGTGTGTGTCTGTGTCTGTGTCTGTGTCTGTGTCTGTGTCTGTGCCTGTGTGTGTGTCTGTGTCTGTGTGTGTTTTTCCCACGTGTGTGTGTGTGTGTTTTCCCCACGGTCGCTGCTCCGCGAGGGTGGGTTCGGACCTCCGCCGCCGAGGCAAGCCGCCGGGGAGGGGGGCGAGCCGCACGGCGCGGGCCTTGCCGCGCCGCGCGGCGGCCCTCCCCCGCGCGACCCGCGCGGGAGGCACGGGCCTGCTGCCGAGCCACGTCGGGGATGAACAGACCTCCCTTTAGTAAAACGTGGTTTAGTGAAAACGACCGGAGGTCCAAATCTGGCGGGCGCAGGCCTGGAAAATAACGGCCGCGGCGCCCTCTCGAGAACCGAAAACGGACAATTCGCCAGTCGACGTGTCACTGTTGGGTGTTCTGTCCACCCCCGACCACGCAAAGGGGCTGCGGAGGCGCCGTCGGCACAGCTCCGGCAGGGAGGGGCCCGCGCGGAGGGCGATCGATGGGAGCGTTTCTTCGCATTCGGCGCGTCGGCACTGGGCGGAGAGGGGGGTCTGGCTGCGGACCTCTGCCGAATGCCACCGTTTGCAGCGGCGCGTCCTCTGGGGGGAGACCGACTCTGCTGGGGGGGGGGGGGGGAAGTGGGGGTGCCAGGGCCCGCGCCGACCGGCAAAACAGCGAATAGGAAAACCACGATATACCCAGACCCCCGACGTCGTGATTTTTTCATGACGTCGCCCCCCAGAGGGCTGGACCCCTTCCCCGGGACCGGTTTTTCGTCCTGCATCGTTTTTTGACGGTCCCGAGGCCCGGGAAGGGCCCCCAGAGGGAGAAAATAGCGAAACACCTTCCGTCGTGATTTTTTCACGACGCGAGGGGGTCTGGGTACGGCTCTGGCTCCCGACGCCCAAGACGGGCCCGCAAAGACCCAATGTCGGAAAAACCGGCCGCCCGTGCGCTTCCTCGTCTGAGTGTTGTCCGGGGCGTCGACCCGCAGCCGCGCCAGCAGGGCCGTGTCCCGAGACGTGCCCGGGGGTCCTCGCTTTATGCTCTCGTGAGCTGATTGCACTGCTTCTAACTGCACTGCGTTTGCTCGACTTGTTTTGCGCTGTTTATCTGGGTGTGTTTTTTTCTGCTCTCCGCTGATTTGCTTCGCATCGCCCTGCCTCCGTTGGCAACCCACGTTCTGTAATGCCACGTACGGATGTGCATTCTCGTGAATCGTGTTGGGTTGCCTTGCGCTGCTTCGCATCCTTACGTTTGCAACGCGTTGAGTTGGCTCGCATTGCTACGCATAAGTATACATGGGTTTGCACTGCACTACGCTGACTGTTCTCGCCTGACTCGCTTTGACGTGACTGGATTCATGCTGGTCTACAGTGCTTTGCATGCTCTTGCATTCGATCACTTCGTTCGGAAACGCTGTGAACTCCGTCGCGGGCCCTGGGATGTATCACTGTTTCGAGGAGGGGTGAACGTGTGTGGGCCCCGGAAACAGCAGGGCCGTTTTTTCACCGTTTCCAAACAAATGTCCATTAAAAATGGAAACGGCAAAGAAACGGCGACCGAAAACGGCAAACAAACGGCCACACGATTGGAACCGGAGCCGGAACTGGTCAAACAACGGCGAAGGAACCGGTAAAACAACGGCGTCGGAACCGGCAAGAAAACGGCAAAACGGAACCGGTGAAACAACGGCCCTGTCGTTTCCAGGGCCCACTAAGCCTGGGATGTATCACTGTTTCGAGAAGGGTTGAACCAAGCTGCGCAGTGTGAGCTGGCGCCCCCGGGGCGCGGCGGGCGGCAAGGCGGCAACGACGCCGCAACGAGGCCGCCGCGGGCGGCAACCTTGCCAATCCCCGGCATACCCACACAGCGCGCGAGGCGGCAACGACGCGGCAACAATGGGACCCGCGCTGAATCCCAAGCATACGCGTGCGAGCGGTGACGGGCGGCAACGTGTCGAACCCGCGGCATGCCCCACAGGCGGCAATGAATGGTCGGCATCCAATTCTTTAGCTGCAGAAGTAAGAACCCCTGAGTACAGGCACTGTCTGGGAAAAGTGAACAGCAGACACCCCAGAAAACTGCAGAATCTTGGGCACCGAGGGGCTGGGAACACACATGTAAAATGTAAACTGACACGCGAGCTGCGAACAACGAGCAAGATTGACTGATATCTGTTGTTGGGATCAAGCTCTAAGAAGGATGATGATTGTTGATCCGCCCACCCCCCAGGTAATCATGATGTGTTTTACTTGAGGTGCCCCTGTGGGAGCTCGCACCCCTGTTCCTACAAGGGGAAACTTTGACCCTCAAACTGTGTGGTTGGCCCAAGGTTTACTACAACAGCGGCTCCTGCGTGATACTTCCTGGCAGTTTACTCAAAATCGCGCTCTCGCGAGGAACCTTCTCACAACTTATACAAAGAGATCGCGCTCAAGCGTGCGGCTTCTTGGCAATGTACTCAAGGGCCACGCTCTCGCTCTGGACTTCCAAACGATGTCCTAGGGGATCGCGCTTCATATTGGACTGACGCTTCAACGACCCACCCGCTCGACCTTGCCGTCTTGGCCCGCCCGTCCGACCCGCCCTTCAAGGTCCACCCGCCCGACGCGCCAGTCTGGTTCTGCCATGCGTTTTCCTGCAACTGAGCACCCTCATGCGAATCTCGCTCGTGCTCCATCCTTATCCATCTTGTCCGTTCCATCCTCCCTTCCTTCTCCTGTTTTAGGGGCTGCGCTGACTACCAAGGAAAGTACGATCGGAGACGAAGAGGGAGGGTATCGACTCTTGGGGTACACATGTGAACCGACACGCAGGAGACTTGGGCGATTAATCTGAAAACCAATGCTGTAGTCGTCGTCCCACCCGCGACCCACCACGCGACTCGCCCCGCGACACGCCCGCCACCCACCCACGTGCGACCCACCCCGCGACCAACCCTGCAAACTGGGCCAACCGCCCGTCCCCTCACTCTGATCCGCACTTGCAGGGTGATTACTCGGTGCTTGGGACCCAGAATGGGGCCGAGCCCACCCAGATCCACCGCCCCGCGAGGTCAAGAAAGACTGCGACTCCAAGCGGTGGGTATGCCATCTTGCTTTGGTGTCGTTCCGAAGCGCCGATCGAAAGACTGACCTCTGCCAAGAATGCGTCTCCGATCAAATCCCACACTGGATCAGTTCATACCAATGAGATACCAGAAAAGGAGACCTTACCCTGTGGGAGGGGACCTCAGTTAGGAAGGCCACACATATTAGGGATAACGACTCTCTTCCGCAGATGTATCGAACCACACCGTCCAACTTGACGACCCCTACTGCAAAGACGGGGACCTCAGTGAGGCCACGTCTTCCTCGTGCTGCTCGGGTTGGGGGGTCTTTTGCTCACGATGATGCCAGCTGCTGCCACGAAGACCCCGCGCGGTGCCACCCGCGGGGCCGACGGCCAAAGACTGGACACGCGGACCGCGGGCCGCGCCTGCGCCGTCTCCAGGCGGCTCTGCAGCCAGCTCGCCATGGCCTCCGAGACGCCGGCTTCGGCTATCGTGTGCGGGCGCGCCAGCAAGCCGGCCTGCGCCGGGGATGCTGGACCCAGTTTCCACCACCGCTGCCACAGGCAGGAGAGGAGGAGGAGGAGGAGGAGGAGGAGGAGGAGGAGGAGGAGGAGGAGGAGGAGGAGGAGGAGGAGGAGGAGGAGGGGGAGGAGGAGGAGGAGGAGTGAGGAGGAGAGGAGGAGGAGGAGGAGGAGGAGGAGGGGGAGGAGGAGGAGGACCCCCTGACCCTCCCTGCTCCTCCGTCCTGCACGCCAACAGCCACAAAAGCCGGCCCGGACCCTCTGCCGCGACCTCGAAGCGACACCGCGCTGGGGCTCCTGGCGCCCTCGCCGGCGCCCCCCCCCCTGGGCTCGCCGCCGATTCAGAAGGACTGCTCACGAACTGAAGCGGGTCCCTGGGGGAGGCGAATTGGAGATGAGGGCGCGCACGCGAGACCTTACGCGGGCAACGTAATTATGGGCGAATGCTGGCGCACGAGGCGTCTGAGCTTCTGAGAAGACCCGCCGCCTCCTGAGAAGGCCTCTTCCTTCCCACTTCCCCCCAAGGCTCGCCGCCGACTCCAGAAACTGCTGACAAAGGGCAGCACAACCCACCCCCACCCCCACCCAGGGCACCCACCTCCGACCTGGTGATCCAGGGTGCCCTGGGTGGGGGTGGGGGTGTGTTTTTGGGCCCCGCGGCTCTTACAACCCAGCCCCACCCCCACCCAGGGCACCCTGGACCACAGGGCATCCAGGGCACCCAGGGCACCCCCAGGGTGCCCCGGGTGGGGGTGGGGGTGGGTTGTGCTGTCCTCAGACAAAGGGAAGCAGGTCCCCAGGGGGAATGCGTCAGGAGCTTCAGGTGCAGGCGGCCGACACAGATTCGTGCTACGAGCCCGGAGAGTGCGGGCAGGGGCGGAGAGGGGGCGGCTGTCTTCCAGGGCAAGGGGGCTCAAGGGAAGGTCCCCCGCGCCTCAGAGACGACGCGTCTCGCACACGCCTGCGCACAAGATCTCTGCCCACGGACGTGTGTATATCTATAGATGTGTGTATATGTGTACCGTCTGTGCTTATGTGTGTTTATATATACACATGCATACATCTCTACATATATATATATATATATATATATATATAGATCCGAAATTGGGTGGTGAGTCCGACGTGAAACGGAGGGAGACCCCCCCTACCGGGAAATCGATTTCGGTTTCGGGATCGTGTTGTGCGTGCCGTGCGTGCGTGCGGGCGAGGCGAAGCTGCGTGGGCGGGCGAGAGGAAATCCTCCTGTGGCTGGGCCGCGGCCGGACCAAATGTCACTCCTCCGGCGGCCCGTGCCGCGCGGTGTCCCGCTGGTGTCGCGCTGGTGTCCCGAAATCCTCCTGTGGCTGGGCCGCGGCCGGACCAAATATTTCTCCTCCGGCGGCCGGTGCCGCGCGGTGTCCCGCTGGTGTCCCATGGTGTCCCGTTGAGTGAGATCGATACTGAGATCGATAGTGAAGTCGATAGTGAGATCGATAGTGAGACCGATAGTGAGATCGATGCTGAGATCGATGTGTGCCCCGAAGGGTCCCGTGGTGTCCCAGAAAGTGAGATCGATAATGAGATCGACAGGTGTCCCGTGGTGTCCCTTTGTGTCCCGTTGAGTGAGATCGATGATGAGATCGATAATGAGATCGATGTGGTGCCCCGAAGTGTCCCGTGGTGTCCCGTGGTGTCCCAAAAAGTGAGATCGATAGTGAGATCGACAGGTGTCCCGTGGTGTCCCGTTGTGTCCCGTTGAAGGAGATCGATGGTGAGATCGATAATGAGATCGATGTGGTGCCCGAAGTGTCCAGTGGTGACCCGTGGTGTACCAAAAAGTGAGATCGATACTGAGATCGATACTGAGATCGACAGTTGTTCCGTGGTGTCCCGTGGTGTCCCGTTGAGTGAGATCGGCAATGAGATCGATAGTGAGATCGATGTGGTGGCCCGAGGTCTCCCGTGGTGTCCCGTGGCGTCCTACGGTGTCCCGCTGAGTGAGATTCACAATGAGATCGATAAGGAGACCAATAGTGAGATCGAGAGGTGTTCCGCGGTGTCCCGTGACGTCCCGTTGGCCCGTGGCGGGGGCACCAGGCTGTAGGCCGACATATGCTGCTCCCTGCACCAGTTGCAGTTTCAATGCTTGTTGCAATTCTGCTTCCGGCTGCCTACTGCAAATTGCTGGAAACCGCGCGATGGGGGGGGAGCCCAAACCGCCGCGTTATCACCTTCGGAGCGCGTGCCCTGAATTCCCGAGGGGGGGGGGGCGCGGGACATGTGAAAATACACGAGGCTCGCGCCCCCGTGGCCAGAATTCCGTGTAAAGCAACGTTCGCGCCCCCGAGGCCACACACCCTCGTAAATTACGCGAGGTTTGCGCCCCGAGGTAGCACACACTTATACATTACGCAATGTTCGCGTCCCCGAAGCCATGAGCCTTTCCAACTTACGCCATATTCGCACTGCCGAGGCGAAGAGTGCGCCAAGGCGCCCAAAGATGGTTCCAAGACGGCCCAAGGGGGCCCAAAGAGACCCCAAAAGCGTCCCAAGAGGCTTCCCGAGAGAGCACCAAGAGACCAACATCGTAGGTTTGACGAAGGCTTTTGAAGGATGTTGGCCTTTTCGCATTTTCGGATTTCCGACGCTTCAAGACCATTCAAAAAGCTCCCAAGACGGCCCCACGACAGCCCAAGACGCCTCCAAGAGGGCCCAAGACGGCCGAAGAGGGCTCCAAGATAGCCCAAGAAGCGCTCCAGACGGGCCCAAGAAGCGCTCCAGACTGCCCAAGAAGGCCCCAAAACGCTCCAAGAAAGGCCCAAGCAGGGGACCACGAACCGAACATTCGATATGTGTACCCCGAGAAGCCCCCAGGAGGCCCCAAGAGGCCGCCAAGAGGCCCCGAGAGACCCCAAGAGGCGCCCAGGATGCGCCCAAGAGGCCTCCAAGAGGCCCAAACGAGACCCCACGAGGTCCCAAGAGGCCCCAAAGAGGCGCCCAAACCGCCCCCAAGAGGCCCCCGAAAGGCTTCCCACGACTCCCCAACACATATACAAGACGGTGGCGGGATGGGCCGAAGGCAACTGTAATCCGCCGCCCCCTGTCGATTCATCGCAGGGGTGCCTGGCGTGCTAGACCCTTTCGGTTTTGGTTCTTTTTCCACAAGAACTCCCCCTGGGGCCTCGGCCCGTCCCGCCAGCCACCAGGAAAGATCTTCCAGACCCGGTTGCAAAGGGTTGTTCCTGCTCCAGACGGCTCCAAGACGGCCCACGATGGCCTCCAAGATGCATCCAAGACGGCCAAGATGTTATCCAAGACTGCCTAAGATAGCCTCAAGATGGTTCAAGACGGCCCAAGAGGCCCCCAAGAGCCCCCCAAGACGCCTCCAAGAGGTCCTCAAGGAGGGCCCGAAGAGGCCAAAATCATTGGTTTTCCTTCGGTGTTTGAAGGATTGTGGCATTTGCTTCTTTTCGGCCTTCCGAAGACCTCAAGACGGCCCAAGACGCCTCCAAGATCGCCCCAAAATCGCTCACGAGGCCTCCAAGATGGCCCCATGACGGTCCAAGAAACCCCCAAGAAGGCCTCAAGAGGGCCCCAAGACGGCCCAAGAGGCCTGACGGACCCGAAGCGCCCCAAGAGGGCCCCAAGTCGGTTCAGAGAGGTCCCCAAGACGGCTCCCGACGGCGTCAGACGGGCCAGGAACGCCATAAGACAGCCAAAGAAGCCCCCGAGAAGCCCGAAAGGGCCCCAAGAGTCCCTCAAGAGGCCCCAAGAGAGCCCAAGATAGCCCCAACATGGCCTCCAAGACAGTCCCAAGATGGTCCAATCGAGCCCAAGAATGCCTCGAGAGGCTCCGGAGAGGCATCCTCCCCCTTCTCCTTTGTCCTTCTTCTGTTCCTCCTCCCCTTCCTCTTCCCCGCGGTCCCCGAAACCGTACCAAACCGACTCCGGGACAACATGGTCAGATACCCTGAGGCTCTTTTCCGGCTTTCTTTTGGGGATCCTGCTAAAAGAAACGCGACATGTCATATCGAACGCAATTTTGTAGGGATCTGCGATAGAATCCTGGATCCTGCTAAAAAGCGCGGAGATTTGTAGGATTCCGGTTTTCCGGCTTTCTTTTGTTATAAAAATACATACATACATACATACATACATACATACATACATACATACATACATACATACATACATACATACATACATTATATACATATGCACATAAACACAGCAACTATACAAATATGTGAGTATACATATATATATATATATGACATAAGTATACAGATGTGTATATACATACATATATGTATATATATATATGTATATATATATATGTATATACATATGTGTGTGAGTGTGTGCGTGCGTATGTTTATGTATCGGATGACATTCGCTCCTCGCAGCTCCTCACTCCCCCCTGGCGCTTGGCTCTCAGCGCCGCTCCCCCTGGCGGCCCTCGGGGCCGCCCTTCCATATGCCCGCGGCCGTGCTGGCCGCCGTCGTCGCGGCGCTGGCTGTCTGGTGCCGCGCTGCGCGCATGGGGGGGCGCGCGCGGCCAGCGTCAGATGGCCAAATCCAGCCGTGGCGACGATAGTTCGGACCAGGTGTTCGGAAGGGGTCCAGCCGTGGCGACGATTCGAGATGCGCGGTCCGACCAAAAAATCGAAAATGATCCAGCCGCGGCGACGATTTGAGATGCGCGGTCAGACTAGGATACTTGATCCAGGGGGATCCAACCGTGGCGACGAATCGATGAGCGCGTTTAGGCTTCGGAGGGCACCCAGCCGCGGCGACGATTCGAAATGCGCGTTGAGATCGGATCGGATTGGGCCCAGCTGTGCAGACGAACCGAACGGAGTGAAACAACGCATGAGCATAAACGCTTGGATGTCCGCTCGGATTGCTTGTTTCGGCGCTCGCCGTGCATCCCAGTCAGCCGTGCAACGTGACAAATGGGGTCTGTCATATGACAGACCCGTCTGTCATATGACAGACCCGTCTGTCATATGACA